ACAGATCCACACCAAGCACATTATAATGAAAATGCCTAGTATACAGAATAAAGATAGAATTTTTAAAGCCGCCAGAGAAAGGTTTCAGATTACATATGGGGGAAAATAATTCAGATCTCAGCAGATTTCTCAACCCAGGCCATCAAGCCAGGAAATCCCGGAAAAACGTATACCAAGCTCTGAATAAAACTGGATGCCAACCAAGAATCTTTTTTAAAATATATATATATTTTTTCTTAATTGTAGATGGACACAACACCTTTATTTTATTTATTTATCTTTATATGGTGCTGAGGATTGAACCCAGGGCCTCACACATGCTAAGCTATTGTTCTACCACTGAGCTACAACCCAGCCAAGAATCTTATATCCAGCAAAATTAAGCTTCAGATTTGATGACAAAATAAAAACTTTCCATGGTAAACAAAAATTAAAAGAATATACGAGAAAGCCTGCACTACAGAATATTTTCGGAAAATTTTCCATGATGAGGAAATGAAAAACAACAATGAAAAGAAGCAAAGGGAGGAACTACACTAAAGGAAAATCCAATCAAATGAGAAAGCAAGTCAAGTTAAAAATCAAAGTAAACCCAAATGACCAGGAATATAAACCATGTCTTAATAATAACCCTGAATGTTAATGGTCTAAACTCATTAATTAAAAGATAGACTGGCAGACTGGATTAAAAAAAAATTCAACAATATGCTGCTTTTCAAGAGACTCATCTCATAGGAAAAGTGAAAGGTTGAAGGTGAAAGGTTGGGAAAAAACATATCACTCACATGGCCATATAAAGAAGCAGGGATTTCCATCCTAATATCAGATAAAGTGGACTTCAAATCAAGTTAGTCAGAAGAGATAAAGAAGGACATTTAATACTGCTTAAGAGAACCATACATCAACAAGACATAACAATCATTATATCTATGCCCCAAACAATGGAGCATCTACGTATATCAAACCATTCTCAATTCCAAGAAGCAAAAAGATCACAACACAATAATACTGGATGACTTTAGCACACCTCTTTCACCACTGGATAGATCTTCCAAACAAAAACAAAACAAAGAAAATATAGAACTCAATAATACAATCAATGATTTAGACTTAACAGACATATGTGGAGTATTTCATCTATCATTAATCAAATACACCTTCTTCTCAGCAGCATATGGATCTTTGTCTAAAATAGACCATATATTGTGCCGCAAAGCAACTCTCAGCAATTACAAAAAATAGAGATACTACTCTGTATTCTATTAGATCATAATGGAATGAAACTAGAAGTCAATGTTAAAATAAAAAAAA